GAACCATCACTCATAGAAAGTGGAGTGGAAGGACGTGCAACGAGAAGTGGAAGAGGCGACATCTCATGACATTGTGCCAAGCGAAAAGCATCGTCAAGGGTGGCAGAAGCAAGTGCATGCACAAGGCCGACAAGATTTTGACGAAGTGCTGGCCACAACATTCCTAGCTTGATCCGCTCCGACATATTGGGCTCCGCACGAAGCAAAAGACTTCAGAAACGAACGCCAAATTGCATCACCGACTCAGATGGCCCTTGGCGAAGACGATGCAATTGTTGGAAGGCATCGTCACAATCGTCGGCATGTTCAAAGGCGCATTTGAAGACGTCCGGAACAACACTCCAATCCTCACGAGTGGCCGCACTCAATCCATTGTACCACTGCAACGCCGTCCCTTGGAGACATGTGGGAAACTCACGTAAACGTCGAGCATCATCCCAAGAATGATATGTGGCAATCACCGTGAAGTGATCAAACCAATGGTACACATCATCCCCGGGATTCCCACGAAAGAACTCCGGCTGAATGCGAGGATTGGCACCAAGAGCAGGAGGAGTTGGACCACGTGCCGTGAATGCCGCCATCAATTGAGTTTGGTTGTTCAATTGCAAGTGCATAGCATCAAGCAATTGGACCAACTGCTACTCGAGAGTCAAAAGAGGAGATTGCTAATCTGCCATGGAGACGAATGAAAAAAAAAAAGAGCAAAAGAAGATAAATGACAAAAAGCTAGAAGGAAATGGTAGATCTAGACAATGTTAAAAGCTAAATCTAAACCAAAATCCTGAAAGGAAAGAATAAAAAGAAGGAAATGGAAAAAGCTAGATCTAGACAATGCAAAAGCTAGATCTAAACCAAAATCTCAAATCCAAGCACTCCTCAGGGACAATCAAAGGTGCCCCTCACCTTCACCAATGTGAATGTTTGGAATATGGAAAAGGAATAAAAGAAATGTGCATATCAATTAGCCTAAAAACCCTAACTTATATACAAGAGCGAGAGATCCGGATTGAAACTAATCCAACGGCTACCAAAATCCCACTACATTAATATTAATATACGGCATCGTAGCCATACACTTGGCCCTCACAACTACTATTAAACAAACTAAACATTACTACATGCACTGCATAACAAATTATTTTCAATAAAGGTCTGTATTGTTGCAAGAAGCTTGTTTGTAACACTTTATAACTCAAACACTGTTCCACAGACTAGATGGCTTTTTAGCACCCTTGTCTGAAAGCTTCATAACCAACAAATCAAACTATTCAACAACAACTCTTTTGCACTTGACAGATTGGCACGGCATCCTTATCTTGAGATGAGTATATGTTATGAAACTGAGCACTGACCCATATGGTATCACATCGTACCACACGTTTTTCTTATGTCTGTAAACAAAATATGACAACTTGAAATCGTGGGCTGCTATAAAACCCAGGGTAAAATCTTCAAGCAGCACACAAGAATGGCTTCTTCAGGAATTTTCTTCTTTGTTCTTTTTGTTCTCTATGCTTCAACAGGTATCATCCATCGTCCTTCCTTTGAGTGCATTTTTGATGTCATATAAATCTCTGTTTTGTGTGTGTAGTCGCTGCCCAAAACGTGCATTTTGGTTATGGAGTTTATCTTCCCACCACGGATCTGGGATCTCCGTTGAGGACCCTGAGGCCCATTTTCAACGAGAGAGCTAACGACTTCTTGCTGTCCGAGAAATATACCTCTGTCACAAACAACCATGCCCACACTAGTAACAACGAAGAGCTCTACAGATCAGTAAGCTATGCAACACTACCAGTTCCTAATCTGATCGGTGGTTTGTATTGTGATCACAGTTTGGAGTTACGTTTGGGATGAACGTTCCTATAAAAGTTCTGCAGCTTAACATCGAGGCATCGTTCAACAAGATTGCGGGGAGCAAGACAAGCATCAGGACCACCTCCGTGTTTGTGGAGTCATACAACCAGAGGATCTACCTCCGGAACCATGCAAGGGCCATCCAAACCCTCCCACTCAACTCTGATTTCCTCAGTGACTTGCGCAACCTTCCCGAGCCACCCAGCTCCGACAGCGCTTGGGGGCCATACCGATCCTTCTTGAACAAGTGGGGAACACACTACGTGTCCGAGACGTTCCACGGCTCATGGCTGCGCCAGTGGACCGTGGCCTCCTCCACGGCGACGTTCACCCAGCGCCAAATGCAGGCCAAAGCCTGTGCCAAGCTCACCGGCCTCAAGGGAGTCCTCCCCAACTTGGAGGGCTGCGCGGGGATCACTCTTGACGACATGCGCGCCGCGGAGAGGATCGACACGCAAGACACTCGAGAGGCCCGGGGTGGATCCTCCGCCACCGTCTCGCAGCTGCTCTCGGGTAACATAACCAACGATCTCATCCGGAAGTTCATCGAGGAGGGAGCCACGAGCAAGGAAGCAGTACGCTATGGCTTCTTTCCAGTGTGGGCGCCCGTCTTGTCTCAGTACATGTCGTCCGCGTCCAAGGAGTGGAGAGTGGCGACGGCGCTCCAGGCTTACTATGAAGGCTTCCTCGCCTTCAAGTGTCCCCTGGACCGGCTCAACACACCCGCGACTGTCTTGCAGCAGTTTCGGAGGCTCAGCAATGGCAAGTATCAGTGCGTTCGCCAGTGCCAGGGCTGCAGGCTTGACAAGGATTGCAACCTTAGTGGTGTATCTGGATGCTACTGCTACGGTAACTCGTGCATCAACGCTCTGGGACCGGATGGCCGGGCTCAGGTTCAGCGGCAGAAGGATAACCTCGACCGTAATGTGCTGCCTAACAGGTCGTGTGAGTACAAGTTTCCTCAGTGCCGCTGCAACACTAAATCCAAAGAGCCGAACTGTGGTGCTGACAACATGATTCCGATATGGGACCAGGGTCAGAACAGCATTGCGATCGATTCAGACATCCTTCTTTATGACGAAGAATGAGCCAGACATGATTGTGTGTTTGTTGGTTGTGATTTGCATTGCATTACGTCTCTACAATAACATGCATCTCTATGTATATTTTGCATGGTTGTGTGTGGTTTGTATTTAACAGTCCTGTGTTTTCAAAAAGAATAAATAAAAAGACGCAATATCGACAGCTGTGTACACTGTGTAGGTGAAGGATGTCTTCCATGTATTATATGAGCTCCCCAAGACATGCACACCTCAGCTGGAAGACCTGGGATCAAGTAACTCTCCTGAGCGGGATCCAGCAGTTGCAAAGAGTGGCCTAAAATGGAGCGGCTACGATTTGCTACTTGACCAGGTTCGTGTGACTGCTTTGGAAGCTAACTCAGCTCTGGTTTGTTTCTCAGTGAACACACGTACTTGGACAAGGTGCTACCTTCGAAGGAGTTTTGACAACGTCTTGATAAGTCATTGCCGTGCGTTCTCAACTGTAAGTTTTCTAAGCTCTTTACACTTGGTTTTTGTTTTTTCAGCGCTGTACATGAGCCAAGCAGCTCTCTTACGACATGGTCGCGCGCTATACCAATCATTCGAGAAGGACCCGAAGCGCCAGAGCATGGGGATCGGGAGTTGATGAGCTCCGACCAGATTGAAGGATCCATTGACCTCTTCCTCTAGGTGCACGCACGGGTCATGCTCTTCTTGGTCCTGTCTATCATGCCGTCCAGGAATCCATCGATTTAGCTTGGCATCATGTTCTAAAGAGGAGAATATTGGCGATCATGGTGTGGAGGAGACCATTGTGACACGATCAAGGCTAAGATTAGAATTGCTTGCTCGCAATTGGGATTTTAGCTTGAAATCGGGCCTTGTGTGGGGAGAACAACAAAAAGAAAAGCATTTGCACTCACGAAATGAGGAGACCACCGTCATGCTTGTGAAGCTTGTCATTTCATTGCCTGCTCGATGACAAAGTTTGCACCTGCGCAGCATGTATTTGCAGGTCCCGGCTGGTAAGCCATCTTTCAAGTCAGTCCTGCTCTCAAGTCAAGTGTTTTAAACTGAATCACAAAAGGAAAGTCTGCCTTAACCAGCTTCGATTTACCTCCTGCTTGGATCTCTCGCAGATGAAGCAACTCCTTTTCAACCTTGATCCAGCTAAGTTCCTCGGACAGCTGTGTTGATACATATTTCCGACAGTCTGCAACATGAAAAAGAAGAAAATCTACACAATTTTTGGGTGAGAAGAATTAAGTACCTTGAAGAAAGCCTCCTTCTGGGGCACCAGCTTACATCAACAAGCGTGGAGCCTCCACTCCGTTCCAAAAACTCCGCAACAGTCATGCGCTAAATTTTGGGATGCCTGAGAAGGTTGCACCGTCGTCTAAAAGCTGCAACAAAAGGAAGCAACCGGAAGTTTGATCATCTGAGGAGCCGGTGTTGTGAGCTTCTCCAAAAGCTTTGGTTGTCAGGCCCATCTAGAATTTTACGTAGCGGTGCCATTGAAGTGGCCATTACCTGGAGCACGAGAGAGAGAGAGAGAGAGAGAGAGAGAGAGAGAGAGAGAGCGAGCCGGTGTTGTGAGCTTCTCCAAAAGCTTTGGTTGTCAGGCCCATCTACGTAGCGGTGCCATTGAAGTGGCCATTACCTGGAGCACGAGAGAGAGAGAGAGAGAGAGAGAGAGAGAGAGTTTCCACAAAGTTTTCCAACGAGCAGCCAGTCCAAGAGAGCGTTAGATGGCAGCCAAGCTCACGTAAAATCGAGATCGCCAAGAGCGTAGAAAATACGTTCAAGGAGGTCGCAAGTAGAGGCCATCGCATCTAAGATCGATTGAAGAAGAAAGGATGAAAACCAGCGATCGAAACGAGAAAAAAGGAGAACTTACAGTGCTTGACGAGCAATGATACGGCTTGAGCGGCGGAGTCGCCAAATGTGTAGCACTGGACGAGAGCTCGGACGATCGGCTTAGCGAGAGGGATCGCGAGACCGGTCATTAAAAGCATGCAAAGCTTGATGCCTCGATCATCTTGAGCAAAGATCTGATTGATCCAAAAGAAAAACTTAAACGCGAGAAGTATCGAAAGAGTTACTTCAACCTGCAAAAGCCATTGAGCCAAAGCTCCCACTGTCGAGGCCAAAACGAGCAAAACACCTCCTGTCAAGCACCACTTTGTATGAATCGACTTTAAAGCTCAAGGCAATGAGGATTGCAAAGCTTGCAATGAATTGCAGCCTGCATGGATCCAAGAACACAGTCAAGAACACACGAATCTTTTGTCTTGTAACCAAAACTTACAGCGAGAATGATCGATATGCTTGATAGAGCAGGACTCAAGGATGCAATCCCGTATCTTCCCGAGACACTGCACACGAAACCCATTCCAAAGTTTGGCTACAAACTGGACGTGAAAGCTCGGTCAAAACTTCCACAGCCGATTCCCATCAAGCACGCCAGTGTTACACAAGGCGCCATGATTCTCAGCTGGATCAAGAGGATGGTTTTTGCAACTTGAGAGTTTTTCTTCTTCTGAAGCTACCTGAAGTATAGCCATGCTTCTCGTGATCAATCCACTGCTTGTTTTCAATAACAATCTGTTTGGAAAGCTTTTCAGATTCTACGACAGAAGGAATGCCGAAAACTTACCCTGTTGTGATTGCATCAATAAGAAAAGCCGCTAATGTGTACATGAGAATGCCAAGGCTCAAAGGTATCTGATAAAAAAGAGGATGGTGTAAGCGTAGGGGAAAAAAACCGGTTTTCATTTGAGATCTTGCTAAAAGAGGATGAAAAAAATGACTTCAAGAAACTCGAAACATACCTTAAGGCCGATACCATTGCTATGTGGATTGGTCCATTGATTCCTGTAAGAATTAACGGTGAATTTTGCTCGATGCTTCAGCTAGAAACTGTATACCTCCAAGGATTATCAGAAAAAATCCTGGTACAATGGACGCATATCTACAAACTTTCGAACTTAGCGAAGAGCACCATGAACTCGATGCATACCCGAACGCATCTACGACAGGACCAACACCAAATACAGCAGCAAGAACAAGCTCACGAACTAATCCCTGTGAAGGGGTGAAGAAAAAACTCAGAAATCTTGCAAAGAATGAAAAACATTTTTAACACGAGAGGGATACAACAAGACTTACCAAGACTTTGCTAAGAGCAGTAGCACTTCCAGTCACTCCCGCTAGCTTCAAAAACTTACCACCGCCTTCTGAGAAGAAAATAATGTTGAGAAGAAACGACAAAGAGAAAGAAGAAAAACCTTCGGAGTCATTCTCGTTGAGCTCAAACAAAGACGTATTGCGAGAGCATACCTGAGCAATTAGTTTGCCGGAAACTAGAAGCCCACTTGAGAGGGAGGCCCTCCTACCGAGAGACAAGGAGCCTGGAGGCGAAAAACATGAATCATCACAGCTTCGTTTCTTCTTACCTGGGCACTGACGAACCGATCCATTCGAGAGAAAGACCCACAAGTCGCTCACACCTCAAGATGACCTTTCTCTCTCTGTTTCTCTCTCAAGAGGGTTTTGGACATCAATGCGGCAATAAGCTATGTCGATCATTAAGAGAGTTTACTGATTTCGAGAGTTCTCATCCCATTCTTACTCGTGACCTTTTTTCATTTTCTTATTTCAATAAAGATATCGCAAGCTTGTTTGTAACACATATACGGCTGTGACGTAGACTTTTCCACCACCCCTGTTCTGGTTTAGGGCTCCGTCATGAAGTGGTCCGACACGAAGATTTCTGACAACGTACCGCACGTTTGTTTTAAAACACATTAAACCGGTTCGCAGTCTTGTTTTCAAAGAAGTAAATGGGTTGGTATAAGTTTTGACACAACGTACCACACGTCTTTCTTATGTTTGTAAACAATGAAAATGTGCTTTGTCGATCATTCATTAAGAGAGTTTATAAGATGTAAAAGATGGTGGCGCAGTTGGTCAACTCTTAGCTCCTGAGGTTTGAGGTCGAGAGTTCGAGCATCTCTAAGAAAGAATTTCGGGATTATTATTATTATTATTGCATTTTTTCTTTTTTTTTTGGTTTGCTTAACCAAAGAGGATGGTAATGGATATTTAGAATATGCTTGGATATTCAAAGATATTCTACCATCTAACAGTAGTTATTTATTCAGATTAATCTTGTAGTTATAAATTACAAACATGTTTATAATTATAAACTTTTATTTGATCAATTAAATCAATAAGTAGAAATAACACTACTATGTGAGTGCTTGGAATATAGAAAGGGAATACAGAAATGTGCATATCAATTAGCCTAAAAACCCTAGCTTATATACAGGAGCGAGTGGTCCGGATTGAAACTAATCCGACGCCTACCAAAATCCCACTACACTAATATTAGTATAC